GTGGAGTCTAGCCTCCCCCCAAAGGTCAACAGAAGCAAAGTCTGGCCTGAGCAAATAGCTCTTGATCGATAGCTCCACCATCTCAGTCCTCTTGGCAATCCAGCTTCTACCTCTATCCGGAGGTTCTGGACCTCTTAAGGCAGAAGCCTAGTCTCTCCCTTCCTCCATACCAGGGGATCTGCCCCAGAACAGCAGCTCAAAGATGTCCTCCCAGCTGTCCCGCTGCAGCAGGGCGAAGTGCTCAAACACCGTCGACATGGAGCTGCCTTCACACTCCTCCTGGCTGGGCTGATGTTGGAACTCGTACTCCCAGTACTGTTTCCCTGGGAAGCAGGGCAGCTGGCATCAGAAGGGTGTGTTGAAGACTGGAGGAGCCAGAGGCTGAACAAGCTGAGAGCTCCCAGTGCAGGGGGTATGGGTGTCTACTGAAGACTGTCCCCAGGGGAATGTGGGAAAAAACAAGACCATTTTATACCTGCCCATTGTCCTCTCTCCATCCCCTCCCTCCAGTACCTTTGAAGAAGTAGACCCGCTCCCGGCCTCTGTAGCTGTGGGCAGGGAGGGCCAAGGCTGCATCTACATTATCTGGGATGCCGCTGAAACCTTCAGCAATGTTTCGGGGGTACTCAGGTTCCAGAACACCATCCTCAAAGCGCCAGTACTGACTACCCTAAGAGGCAGAGAAGGTGAAAGGGGTGAGAAGACAGGGGTTAGACACAGAGGCCAGAGATCTATACCCTAAAGTGACTATCCTCAGCCTCCCCAGAATTGTTACCCACAAGCTGAAGCCTCGGACTGGCTCATCCTCTCAGCTCCCATCCTCTCCCACCATGACCTCTACCCACACAGCCCCTGGACCTGGCACCTTGAAAATGTAGGTCTTGCCCTGACAGTTGATTCGCGTGAAGGCAGCATCAATGGGGCCATCAATGCCCCAGACATCTCGGATGAGCTTGGGGTATCCAGGCCTGACTGCTGTTTCATCTAGCTCATAGCAGTACTGCCCTAGGGTGGGGAGAGGATGAAGGTGTGAGGGATAGGATGCTCCCAGACAACCCCCAACCCCAAGACCTGCCCCTGGAGTCACCTCGGAAGGCAAACACAGAACCATTCTTGAGGTCGGTGAAGGCATCGAAGGGCTTCCCACTGCACAGCTCTTCCTCAGCTGTTGGCCATGAGATACCTTGATCAGTGATATCAGACTCTAGAGTCACCTCAGGCCTTGTGGTTTTCACCTCAGGCCTTGTGGTGCTTGTCCCTTGTGGTGCAGGAGTCTCTTCTGGCTGAGGCAGCAGGCTAGGGTTCTCTGGCTGTTCAGGGACACTGGCATTGTCCTTAGTCTCTTCTGTATAATCAAAGTTCCAGTACTCATCTTCAGGCATAGTAAACACATCACCACGAGTCACTGCAGGTAAAGTGAATGGTAGTGAGTCTCTTGGGGCAGATGGGCTCCTACCTCTCCTTACTCCCCCCACCTTCCCCGACCCATGGCTCCAAACGCACCTTGGGGTTTGCACTCAGTCACGAAGTCAGCACAGCAGCTCTGGTAGTAAGAGCACATTTCATCACACTGACACTTCTTGTTAGCGTTGAAACCCTCTGTGCAGCGCCCTTTGCATGACTCTGAGGAGGGAGAATCTTGTTACAGCCAATTCCAAGTTACCCATACCCATCCCCTACCATGTTCCAGAGGGTCACCAACACCCTCTCACACCTTGGTCAGCCAGAGCAACCCATGCCAGCAGGGACAGCATGAGAAAGGGCCTCAGGATTGCCATGGTAGGCCTCTAGCTGAGGGCCTGTCCAGCTGGGCTCTGAGCTCCCTGAGACTCTGTTCTGCTGCCAGGGGAAGAGAGGGAGAACTAGGCAAAGAGGGAGGGAACTGGAAAAGAGGAACTGCCCATTCTCTTGCTCTGTTTGCTCAGCCTGCAGCCCAACCCCCAGTTTCCCAACTCCAAAAGGCTGCTGCAGCAAAGGGTCACATTCCCAGAGTCCTGGGCCTGAGAGAGCTGGGAAATAGAAACCTTGCCAAACTCAGAGTCATCAGGCAATCAGGATGAGGAGTAGCCTGGCAAGTCTGCAAGGCCGAAAGAAGTTTCATGAGGTCACTCATTGGACAAACTGCTTTACCTCTCTAAGCCTAAGGTTTTTTTTTTCTGTTCTTTTCATCTCCTCCTCCTCCTCTTCTTCCTCCTCCTCCTCTTCCTACTCCTCTTCTTCCTCTTCCCCTTCTTCCTTTCCTCCTCTTCTTTTTTCTGCTAGTAGTGGGGCTAGATCTCAGGATTGGGAGAATCTAGTGACTAATCTAAGGGTGCTGTCCCTTAGCTTTTTGCACTCCAGGCTGGCATTCTATTACTTGAGTCATACCTCCACTTCCAGCTTTTTGATGATTGAGATAAGAGTCTCATGAACTTTGCCGTCTAGGCTGGATTTGAACTGCGCTCCTCAGATCTTGACCTGAGTAGCTAGGATTACAGGCATGAGCAATTGGCATCTGGCCTAAGTTTTCTTTTTTTTTTTTTTTTGTCGGTCGTGGGGCTTGAACTCTGGGCTTGGGCGCTATCCCTCAACTCTTCAGCTCAAGGCTAGCACTCTACCACTTGAGCTACAGTGCTACTTCCGGTTTTCTGGTGGTTTATTGGAGATAGGAGTCTCACAGTCTCTCCTGCCTGGGCTGGCTTTGAACCGCGATCCTCAGATCTCAGCCTCCTGAGTAGCTAGGATTACAGGCGTGAGCCACCAGCGCCTGGCCTAAGTTTTCTTTTTTTTAAATTTTTATTGTTAGTATAAAGGTGATGTACAGAGGCTATAGTTACACAAGTCAGGTAATAAGTACATTTCTACTTGGACAATGTCACCTCTTCCCTCACTCCTAAATTTTCTTTTAAGTAAAATGAAACAAATGATATCTTGTTTCATTAGTGTTAGGAGATTACATGGACTAGAACAGACAAAATGCCCTGTGCTTGGAGAAGATCCAAGTTCATTCTCATAAATGGTTTTTGATTCATGATTCATTTGAGCAAGCACAACCCTGGCTGGGTGCTCATCCACCCATTGTATATTTAGGAATATGAAAGGGAAGTGGGAAGAAATTGGATAAGTACTCTGGGAAAAGTCTCCTTTTCTTTCTTTCTTTCTTTTCTTTTTTTTTGTCGGTCATGGGGCCTGAACTCTGGGCCTGGTCCCTGTCCCTCAGCTTTTCAGCTCAAGGCTAGTGCTCTACCACTTGAGCCACAGTGACACTTCCGGCTTTTCCTGCTTATGTGGTACTGAGGAATCGAACCCGTGCATGCAAGGCAAACACTCTACCACTGAGCCACCGTCCCAGCCCCAAAAGTCTCCTTTATTTATCATAAAAAAAAACAAAGTTTATTTCTAGCTTCTTCTTATCGGTACATCAATCTCTCCAAGCTGATCTTCAAGCTGGCCTAGGAAATAGTGAATATGAACCCATTGAACCAGATTTGATTCTTGAGTCACTAATCCACTGATGCTGTATAAACTGTCTCTTGTAGCAGCCCTCAGTCACTCTATCTGTAGAATGGGCTCATTCAGCACAGGTTAGGCTCTCATGAGGTATGTATAATCCCTCTACTCCTACTGGCACAGAATATCCAGCCACGAGACTTCATCACAGAAGCCTGTTCATCACAGAGTTTTTAGCTGGCATTTTCTGTTCTGTCATCAGAGGAGGGAGTGTGTAAGTCTGGCCAATCTCTTCTCTATGAGACACACGCATAAAGGGGCCTTTAGAAATGTTAGAGAGCCAGGCATATGTAATCCTAGCTACTCAGGAAACTGAGATCTGAGGATTACAGTTCAAAGCCAGCCTGGGCAGGAAAGTCTGTGAGATTATCTACAATTAACCAGCAAGAAGCTGAAAGTTGGAAATGGTGCAGTGACTCAGAGTGATAGAGTGCTAGTTTTGAGTGAAAAAGCTCAGGGAGAGTGTCCAGGCCCTTCCTGAGTTCAAACCCCACCACCAAAAAACAAAACCCACTAATTTCTTGGTGCAGGCAATGTGGGTTGGTGGTAGAGTGTTGCCTAGCATGCAGGAAATCCTGAGTTCAGTTCCTCAGTACCACATAAACAGAAAAATCCAGAAGTGACTCTGGCTCAAGTGGAAGAGTCCTACCCTTGAGCAAAAAGAAGCTCAGGGACAGTGCCCAGGCCCTGAGTTCAAGCCCCAGGTTTGGCAAAAAAAAAAAAAAAAAGTGGAGCTGTGGATCAAGTAGAGTGCTAACCTAAAAAAAGAAAAAGAAAAAGAAAGTTCAATGATAGTGCTCAGTCCCTGAGTTCAAGCCCTAGGACCAGCACACACACATACACACACACACACACACACACACACACACACACACACACACACACACACACACACAGTTGTTGTTGGGGGTGGGGGGAGTTGTTAGGAACTTTGCGATTGCTTTAATCACTGGGAGGGAGGGGTACACTCGGTGGCGCTGCTTCCCACCTCTCAAGTCAGGGCAACGGATATGACTTAAAGGGAGGAGGGAGTGTGGGCGTGGGTGGAAAGGCCTGGGGGCGGGGCTTCCTAGGCAGAGGGGGCGCGGCCTCCGCGGCCTAGAGGCGGGGCTTCGCCTGTAGTCTCAACAGCCCGGGGTCCGGGGCGTGGCTGGCGCAGAGCATCTCTGCTTGCGGGAGCTGGAGCTGGAGTGCCGCTTTGTTCTATCAGCTGCTTGCTCTACCTTTCGGCATCTGGATCCTCCTTCGCTTTCCCACTCTCTCCTTCGCCCATTCCCCGAGAAGTGGTTTGCATCCCCTTCTCCGATTGCTGCTCCGCAAAGCCTGACCTCACCCCTGCCTCCCCAAAGTCCAGCGGGCACCCTTGCCCGGAATCCTTTTCTCCCTTAGCCCTTCTTACCTCCTTCGTCTCCCCTTTCTCAAGGTCTGGGCTGCTCTCCGGGCCCCGATCTTCCCCCCGCCCACCCCCGTCGCCCCCCAAGGCCAGGAATGTCCCCTGCCAGCCCGCGCCCATGGTCCTGACGCTGCTCCTCTCCGCCTACAAGCTGTGCCGCTTCTTCGCCATGTCCGGCCCACGACCCAGAGCCGAGCGGCTGGTGGTGCCGGGGACCGATCAGGGTGGCGGCGCGGGCCCGTGGTGGGCTTCGGGCGGCCGCGGGTCCCGCGAGGTGTCGCCTGGGGTGGGCGCTGAGGTGCGGGGCGCCCTGGAGCGTGCCCTGCCTGAGCTGCAGCAGGCGCTGTCGGCGCTGAAGCAGGCAGGGGCCGCGCGGGCTGTGGGCGCGGGCCTAGCCGAGGTCTTCCAGCTGGTGGAGGAGGCCTGGCTGCTCCCAGCCGTGGGCCGCGAGGTGGCCCAAGGTCTGTGCGATGCCATCCGCCTAGATGGCGGTCTGGACCTGCTGTTGCGGCTGCTGCAGGCGCCGGAGCTGGAGACGCGTGTGCAGGCTGCGCGGCTGCTGGAGCAGATCCTGGTAGCTGAGAACCGGTGAGGGCGCGAGACTCGTGGAGGGGGAGAGCAAGGCGAGGTGAGGGGCGGCTGGGGGTGGGGGTCGGGGTCAGGTACCTGGGTCTTCCACCTGCCTCGCTTCATCTACTAATCTATTAATCTACTCCACACTACACCTCATCTAATAGGAATTAGTGCGTCCGTTTTACAAATGGGGAAAGTGAGGCTTGGGAAAGTCTAATGAGTAATCCAGAAGGAACTAATGATGTAGTGAGGATTTATTTTCAGGATGAGTAGGGTAAGGAATGGAAACAGAGAAAGAATACTGTTGTAGGGCTAGAGTGTTCCCCCCCTCCTCTTCCTCCTCTTCCTTCCTTCCTTCCTTCCTTCCTCCCTTCCTTCCTTCCTTCCTTCCTATGTACACCTACTGTGGTTTGAACTCAGGGTCTGGGTGCTGTCCCTTAGCATTTTCTCTCAAGGCTGGGACTCTATGATTTGAGGTACAGCCCCACTTGGAGATAAAAGTCTCACCGATTTTTCTGCTTGGGCTGACTTTGGACTGGGACCCTCAGATTTCAGCCTCCAGAGTAGCTACGACTACAGGTTTAGGAACCTATCTTTAGTTCCATGGATGGAGATGGCATCTTAGTACCAATGCCAACCCATAGCTCTGGGCCTCTGTCTGGGTGTCCTTCTTTGCTTACCCTTGCTCCAAACAGAAATGATCTCATTCTGAAGCTGCTGATCTGGAATAGAAAGTTTCCTGCCCGAGTGAATGGGTGGAGGTGGAAGAAACTGAAGTGCAAACTGGGCAGGGGTCAGAGCATGTGTTTTCACCCCTTCCCTACACTAACTACCAACATATAGAAGTGGGGTCAAAACAAGCCTTAAAATTTCACTTTTCCTTTGTGATGCCAGAGCACTCCCGTCTGTAGCAGAATGCTCAGACTTCTTGGGCTTACGAGAGTTTTGGGAGTCACTAGCTCATGCATCGCTCACAGGTGTGATGGCAGTGGAGGAGTGTTTTCCTTGCCATTTTCCAAAAAGGAAAAAAAAATCCTCTGTGATTGGTGGAAATAAGGCAACTGTCAAAATATAGCATAAATAAAACAACTTAGGTTGGGTGACCAAGATAAAGTTCTGCTTGTTTAGCAAGTCACTAGCTTCCCACGGATCAGTGTCCTAAGGGGGATGGACCATGAATTTAGAGGACTTGCACGTGGCAATGGGTGTTCTAAGGGTGTGGTGGGCCATGGACCGTATGTGTGCCTTCCTAAGTGGGTCATAGCAGTTATAACTAGAATCTCTGGGAAGTGAGTACAGCTAGTGCCCTAGGATTAGCAGGGGTGCAAGATGCTGTAGTGTGTGTGTGTGTGTGTGTGTGTGTGTGTGTGTGTGTGTGTGTACAGCTCTTGGGGCTTGAACTCAGGACCTGTGTGCTGTCCCTGAGCTTTTTTGATCACAGCTAGTGTTTTCCACTTAAGCACAGCTCCACTTCTGGCTTTTTTCCCTTTTCTTATTTCTTTTTTTTTTTTTTTTTTCATTTTTATTACTATATCTTTAAGTAGTTGTACAAAGAAGTTCCCATTCTACAAAACAGTATATGAGTACAAGGTGTCTGACAACATTATCACACATTGCTCCTAACCCATCCCTTCTTTTGCTTTATTTTTTATTTTATTTTATTTTATTTTTTGTCGGTCGTGGGGCTTGAACTCTGGGCCTGGGCGCTGTCCCTCAGCTCTTCATCTCAAGGTGAGCGCTCTACCACTTGAGCTACAGCGCCACTTCCGGTTTTCTGGTGGTTTATTGGAGATAGGAGTCTCACGGTCTTTCCTGCCCGGGCTGGCTTTGAACCGCGATTCTCAGATCTCAGCCTCCTGAGTAGCTAGGATTACAGGCATGAGCCACCGGCGCCCGGCTTCTTTCGATTTTTTTAAAAATTGAGATTAGGTGATTACATAAATTTCACACATTTCATAGTATTGTGGAATTGTGATATGTAGTTAAAGTCACAAACACATTTTAACCTTCACAAGGCAAATTTCATTATGTTCTATAAAGTTTGTGAATTCTATGAGCTTTGACAATACAAATTATTTCTTCCACATCAGGTGATGATTACATTTCTTTCCTTTTGCTTAGTGTAGGCTGTTCCCTCTTTCCCTTTCATTTTTCCCTTCCCATCACTGTCTTTGGGTTGCTTAGTTCTTTTTCTTCTTCTATGTCCAGCAGCTGATGGGCCACTTTGTTGTATGTTGTTTCATTTCCCACTTTCTCTCTCTCTGTATGTGTGTGTGTGTGTGTGTGTGTGTGTGTGTGTGTGTGTGTGTGTGTGTGTGTGTATACAGGTCTTGGGGCTTGAACTCAGGACCTGGGTGCTGTCCCTGAGCTTTTTGATCAAAGCTAGTGTTTTACCACTTGAGCACAGCTCCACTTCTGGCTTTTTTTCCTTTTCTTATTTCTTCTCTCTCTCTCTCTCTCTCCCTCTCTCCCCTCCCCCCTCACCCACCACTGTGTGCATTTAATTAGCGATAAGAGTCTCACAGCTGGCTTTGAATCATGATTAGGATTAGGTTAGGATTGCACGTGTGAACCTCCAGTGCCTAGAAAACTCATATGTTTAAGGTTGAAAATGATGGTCCTCACTTGGTTCAGAATTATGGAGAGGAGAGTCACTCACCAGGGTCTTTGGTTCCAAGACACAACACACATTCTGATGCCAGTGTTTCTTCAGGACCAAGGACAGAGAACAGCACGGATGGTGGCTATCAAATTCCTTCCTAAGGGCTGGGAAGTTGGCTCAGTGGTAGAGCACTTGCCTTGCATGCCTGAGGCCCTGGGTTCAATTCCTCAGCACCACATAAGCAAAAAGAAAAAACCCGGAAGTGGCGCTGTGACTCAAGTGGTAGAGCACTAGCCTTGAGCTGAAGAGCTGAAGGACAGTGCCTAGGCCCAGAGTTCAGGCCCCATGACCGGACCCAAAAAAAAAAAAAAGAAAGAAATTCCTTCCTAAGAGTCAGGTGTAATCCCAGATACTTGGGAGGTAGACATTAGGAGGGTAGTTTGCCAACACAGGCAGAAAGCTAGCAAGACCCCCATCTCAATAAACAAGCAATGCAGGAGACATAAGTAGGAAGATCTTGGTTGGAGTATCAGGGTCAAGGCTGGTCTTGAGCCACAATGTGAGATACTTCCTGAAAAATAACAAAAGCAGAAAAAACATTTGGAGGCATGGCTCAAGTGGTAGAACACTCATCTAGCAAGCATAAGGCCCTGTGCTCAAACATCAGTACTATCTAAGCAGCTGGATTTTGGTGGCTCATACCTATAATCCTAGCTAGTCAGGAGGCTGAGATTTGAGGATTGAGGTTTGAAGCCAACCCAGGGAGGAAAGTGTGTGAGACCCTCATCAATTAACCATAAAAATTCAGAAGTGGAACTGTGGCTTCAATGATAGAGTTCTAGACTTGAGAAAAAAATTCACAGGGACAATACTTATGAGGGCCCCGAGTTCAAGTCCCAAGATTGGTACAAAATAAAGAAACAAAAACTCTTTCCCAATAAATTCAGTCTTTGCATGCCTCCAGGTTACTCAGGGTCAAGGCTGGAAGGGGGAGAAGAAGAAGTGGGTGATACACTGAGCGTTAATATTTATGGAGCCTTTTTCTTTCTCCATCAACCAAACTCTTTCCTCTCCTTCTCCTACTACTCCTCCTCTTTCCTCCCCCTACCTCCTCCCCATACCTCCTCCCCCCTCTCCTCTTCCTCCTCTCCTCCTCCTCCTCCTCTTCTTCTTCTTCTTCTTCTTCTTCTTCTTCTTCTTCTTCTTCTTCTTCTTCTTCTTCTTCTTCTTCTTCTTCTTCTTCTTCTTCTTCTTCTTCTTCTTCTTCTTCTTCTTCTCCTCCCCTCCTTCTTTTTCTCCTTCTTCTTCTTCCTCTCCTTCTCCCTCTCACCCTCATTCCCCTCTTCCTCTCCCTCACCCCTCCTCCTCCTTCTTCCTGCTTGTAGGTGAGCCTAGGAGCTGTTTCTTAGTTTGTTGTTGTTGTTTTTTACTCAGACTGAGGCTTGAGCCTGACTCCTTGAACCACAGCTCCACTTCCAGTTTTTTGCTAGTTAATTGGAGATTTTTAAAAATCTCATGGATTTTCCCTCTTGGGCTGACTTTGAACTATGATTCTTAGATCTCAGCCTCTTGAGTAGCTAGAATTACAGGCATAAGCCATTGGTGGCCAGCTGTCTTTCTTTTTATTAAATGAGCATAAGCCCAGTCAGGTTTAGTTTCCATTTAATATTAGCCTCCCCAGTGCAAAGCATGGCACACAGAATGTTCTCAACAAGTATCTGTTGAGTGAGTGAGTATATACAGCCCAATCATGGAACGTGGATGGAGGCAAGTTTGGAAGCAAGGCTAAGAGGGATGCATTTCAAATGACACTTCAAATGATGATAAGTTAACAGTTATTAAAGTTTTTCTGCTCTGTGCCAGGCACTATGCCAAGCACTTTCTATGGATGATCTCATCAATTCTGATAATAATCCTATTATTAGGTACTCAGGGCCTGGGCACGGTCCCTGAGCTTTAGTGTACAAGGCTACCACTTGCGCTACAGCTTCACTTCTAGCTTTTTTTCTGTCCTGTCCTGGGGTTTGAACTCAGGCCCTGGGCTCTGTCCTTGAGCCACTCTGTGCTTAGGGCTTGCATTCTATCATTTGAGCCACAACACCACTTCTGGCTTTTTCTGTTTATGTGGTATTGATGAATCAAACCGAGGGCTTCATGCATGCTAGGCAAGCATTCTACTACTAAGCCATATTCCCAGCCCTAACTTCTAGCTTTTTTAGAACTTAATTGGAGATAAAAGTCCTGTGGACTTTCCTGTCACGACTGGCTTTAAACCATTATTCTCAGATCTCAGCCTCCTGAATAGTTAGGATTACAGATGTGAGCCAACAGCACCTGCTTCTCTTTTCATAGTTAAGCTCCCTCAAAACTTAAGGAGAGAGATACAAAAGATGCCCATGCCCCATGACTGGAAAGTAGCAAAGAAGGGCCAGGATTCGGGGAGTCTGCTCCAGATCTGGAAGCATATTGCTTGTGTGTGTGTGTGTGTTGTGGGGCCTGAACTCTGGGCCTGGGCACTGTCCCTCAGCTGTTCAGCTCAAGGCTAGTGCTCTACCACTTGAGCCACAGTACCACTTCCGGCTTTTTCTGCTTATGTGGTACTGAGGAATCGAACCCAGGGCCTCATGCATGCAAGGCAAGCACTCTACCACTGAGCCACCTTCCCAAGCATACTGCTTCTTAAGGGGAGGAGACACCAGCAGGGTGCTCACGCTGGTAATACTACCTACCGAGGAGGTTGAGATCTGAGGATCATGGTTCAAAGCCAGCCTGAGCAGGAAAGCCTGTGAGATTCTTATATCCAATAAACCACCAGAAAAATGGAAGTGGTGCTGTGGCTCAAGTGGTAGAGCACTCGCCTTGAGCTGAAGAACTGAGGGACAACGCCCAGGCCCAGAGTTCAGGCCCCACAACCAAAAAATAAAAATAAAAACGCAATGGAGAGGCTTTGAGTTCAAACCCCCAAAACACAGAGAGGTGGGGGGAGGGAGTGTCCAAGAGGCTGCCTGTGGCCAGGATGGAGCACCCTCCTCCTTCTCCCCCCAATAACCAGAAAAACCTGGTGAGAGTGAGGGACCAGGAAGGATAACGCAGTCCCCACGTCTCCTACGACAGTCTATAACCCTGTCCTCAACCAACAAGCCAAGCTCCCCAGTGTGCAGCAACTCCACGGTTCCCTTCCCTTCTCTCCGGGCAGGGACCGCGTGGCGCGCATCGGCCTGGGCGTGATCCTGAACCTATCGAAGGAGCGTGAACCCGTGGAGCTGGCACGGAGCGTGGCGGGCATCATGGAGCACATGTTCAAGCACTCGGAGGAGACGTGCCAGAGGCTGGTGGCAGCCGGCGGCTTGGACGCTGTCCTGTACTGGTGTCGCCGCACCGACCCGGCGCTGCTGCGCCATTGCGCGCTGGCGCTGGCTAACTGCGCCCTGCACGGGGGCCAGGCGGTGCAGCGACGCATGGTGGAGAAGCGCGCCGCCGAGTGGCTCTTCCCGCTCGCCTTCTCCAAGGAGGACGAGCTGCTGCGGCTGCACGCCTGCCTGGCTGTGGCCGTGTTGGCCACCAACAAGGAGGTGGAGCGTGAGGTGGAGCGCTCAGGCACGCTGGCGCTTGTGGAGCCGCTTGTGGCCTCGCTGGACCCTGGTCGCTTTGCCCGCTGCTTGGTGGACGCCAGCGACACGAGCCAGGGACGCGGACCAGACGATCTGCAGAGCCTCGTGCTGCTGCTGGACTCGTCCCGCTTGGAAGCCCAGTGCATCGGGGCTTTCTACTTGTGCACAGAGGCTGCCATCAAGAGTCTGCAGGGCAAGACCAAGGTGATGGTAATGGGGGAGGGTGGATCAAGGGTTAAAAAGCATCTCGGGAGCCTGGTGCTGGTGGCTCTCGCCTGTAATCCTACCTACTTAGGAAGCTGAGATCTGAGGATCAAGGTTCAAAGCCAGCCCGGGTAGGAAAGTCCGTGAGACTCTTACCTCCAATAAACTCCTCAGAAAAAGCTAGAAGTGGTGCTGTGGCTCAAGTGGTAGAGCGCTCACCTTGAGCTGAAGAGCTCAGGGACAGTGCCCAGGCCCAGAGTTCAAGCCCTATGACTGACCAAAATAAAAAATAAATAAATAAAAGCATCGGGGAAGGCTTCCCAGAGGAAGTGATACTTGTCCAGGATTTGAAGGATGTATGAGCATTAGGTGAAGCCAGGTGCCAGTAGTTCATGACTGTAAATCCTATCCACTCAGGAGGGCTGAGACCTGGGTACCAGCTCCAGAGGTATGGCTCAAGTGGTAGAGGACCAGCATTAAGCAAGAAAAGTGAGAGTGCAAGACCCTGAGTTCAAGCTCCAATATGGTGTGTATACTGGATTGAGGAGCCAGCCATTTTGGCATTGAAGGCAAGACTCAGAGTTTGAACTTAGCCTCTGGGGGCAAGAGAACACACACACACACACACACACACACACACACACACACACACACACATACATGGAGGTTTTAAAGCAGGGAACACACTTTTATTTTTCTTTTTTTTGCAAAGATCACCCTGATTGTTGTGCAGAAATGTAGCAAGGAAAGGCAAGATTGGAGGCAACCAACTGGGAGCTAGGCTGTCATGGTGTCTGGAGAATTGAGAGTGCAGATGTGAAGCTATGTGCAGTAGCCAAGGGAAGCAGAGTCAAGAAGCATTTAAGAGGTGGGATTAGAACTGGGTGCCTGAGAAGAGAGAGACTATCTGAGGATAGGCCAGGCCACAAACACATACATGCCGGAGAAAAGAGAGTGAATTTGGTGTGACATGTTGAGATTGAGGTAGCTAAACCAGGTGCCAGTGGCTCACGCCTGTAATCCTAGCTACTGAGGAGGCTGAGGTCTGAGGATCACAGTTCAAAGCTAGCCCAGGCAGAAAAGTCTGTGAGACTCATCTCCAATAAACCACTAGAAAACCGAAGTGGCGCTGTGGCTCAAGCGGTAGAGTGCTCGCCTTGAGCAGAAGAGCACAGGGACAGCCCCAAGCCCAGAGTTTCAAGTAGCTGACAGATGCCTCATTGGGCAGCTTCAGTGGGTGGTTTTGCTGCCTGGGCCTAGAGTCTAGAAAGGATACAAGAGCTAGAGACAGGCATGAGAGGAAGGTAGGGCATCAGTGCATCTGTCAAAGAACTCTTAGCTAAATCCCAAAGGGTCCTCATAGCCAAGGTCTAAACCATACCTTTGTCTGCTGCTTTAACTTGCTAATGATCTCGAGTACTTGATTTTCTCTCTCTGGACTTCATTTCAGATAGACAAACAGACAGACAGATAGATATAGTTTCTGAAGCCTCTCTGAACATCCAGTGTAAAGAGCTGGACTCACAGCTGGGAAGGTGGCTCCGTGGTAGAGTGCTTGCCTCGCAAGCATGAGGCCCTGGGTTCAATTACTCAGCACCACATAAATAGAAAAAGCTGGAAGTGAAGCTGTGGCTCAAGTGGTAGAGCACTAGCCTTGAGCTGAAGAGCTGAGGGACAGTTCCCACTCCAAGTTCAAGCCCCACAATCGATCGAAAAAGAAAAAAAAAAAGAGAGAGAGCTGGATTCTAGCTTCTGTGCCCCAGAATTGATCCATGGGAAGACTAGCCAGTAAAACACATCATTTTGTCCTAGTAGAAAGGACTTGGAGGAGAATAAGAAGCAAGAAACCTAAAAACTGGATCTGTAGAACAATCCTATTAGTTCTATCACCTCTTTCCCATCAAGGCCAAGTGAGTGCAGTTCAGCAAAGATGTTGAGCCTCTATTCCATGTCCTTTATTATGCCACATAGAGGGGCACATGTCCTCCACTTATAGGCCAGTGGAATATGCATTATCAGCTAGTGACAGTGGCATTTGGAGTATGGTCATAGTTCTAACTGGAGGTGTGGGCCAGGCTATGAAGAAATCAATGTGAGCTTCACAAAAGAGGCACTAAGCAGCATGAATTCCAATGAATGAGTAGGATTCTCATGAGCAGACCAAAAGAACTATGGACTTGGAAGTGTCATAGGTGAGACCTAAAGGTATGAGAGCTTTGGTGGATGTATGAGGTGAGCTAGAAGTAGCAGACTGGGGATATACTATATAACCTGGTAGCCATACTGAAAACTCAGATTTAACCCCAGGGCAGATGAATGCTGTGGTAAGGACAGGTAAGGGACTTCTGGTCAAGAGTCAAATGAAGCTGGAAGCGGGTGGCTGGTGGCTCATGCCTGTATCCTAGCTACTCGACAAGCTGAGATCTGAGACTCTAGGTCCAAAGCCAGCCTGGACTAACAAATCCAATGGACTGTTATCTCCAATTAACCAGCAAATGCCTGAAATGGAGGTGTGGCTCAAGTGGAAGAATCTCAGCCTTGAGTGAAAAAGCCAAGCTCTCCTTTGAGGCCTGGAGTTCAAGGCCCAGTTCCAGTATGGGGGGGGGGAAAAAAAAAAGCAAGCGAGCTTCATAAAGAAGAATGCACGACTGGATCACAGAATGGAGGAAGGGCTAGGGTGGATGGTAGGACTAGAAGGCAAGAGAACACATCAGGGAGAAGCTGGCCAACTGGTGGACCCTAACCTGCCATCTCACCCCTTTCTCAGGTGTTCAGCGACATTGGCGCCATCCAGAGCCTAAAACGCCTGGTTTCCTACTCCACCAATGGCACCACTTCAGCACTGGCCAAGCGTGCACTGCGCCTGCTGGGGGAGGACGTGCCCCGGCGCATCCTGCCCTGCGTGGCCAGCTGGAAGGAGGCTGAAGTGCAGACGTGGCTGCAGCAGATCGGCTTCTCCCAGTACTGCGAGCGCTTCCGGGTAGAGCATGGAGGGGAGGGAGATGCCTCCCCAGGGGTCTTGGGGCCACAATCTTTCCCAGAGTGCTCTGGGCACAGGCCACTGAGTCCCTCGGTGCCCCTCAGGCCTGTGGTGCTGTGATAGCCTTTTGGGGAGGGGGAGTTTATATTCAGCCATGCTGCTCAGTGTGTGTGTGTGTGTGGGGGGGTCATCAGCCTTTTCCACTGCCCCTTCCAGTTCGCTCCTTAGCATCTGGAGTTTGAGGGAGGAGGGGAGCCTGCCTCACACTGCCCCACCCCCCCAGGAGCAGCAGGTAGATGGCGATCTGCTTCTACGGCTCACAGAGGAGGAATTACAGAGTGACCTGGGCATGAAATCCAGCATCACCCGCAAGAGGTAGGGAGTACCTCACCTGCCAGCCCAGTCCCACCCTTTCAGATCTAACTGACCCCTCCCACCCCCTCACCAGCCCGACCCAGGTTGGAACCACAGCTTCTTTTCCGTGGCGTGCAGGTTCTTTAGAGAGCTCACAGAGCTCAAGACCTTTGCCAACTACGCTATGTGTGACCGCAGCAACCTGGCAGACTGGTTGGGCAGCCTGGACCCTCGCTTCCGCCAGTACACCTATGGTCTGGTCAGCTGTGGCCTGGACCGCTCCCTCCTGCACCGTGTGTCCGAGCAGCAGCTGCTGGAGGACTGCGGCATCCGCCTGGGTGTGCATCGAACGCGCATCATCTCTGCCGCCAGAGGTCAGTCTGGAGCCCTACCCAGCTGAGCCTCAGTCTTAGAGAAATGAGGAGAGACTTAGGGTGGAGGCTGAGAGTCTTTCTCATCACACTGGGTCCACACTGAGGAAGCAAAAATGAAAGTGATGCACTTTGTCCTCAAGAAGTTCCCAGTGTGAGTAGGGTAACAGGATAGGAGTAAGCAGGTCTACCAACAGGCAGGTAGCCTTAGCAGGAAGCTTGCCCAGGACTCCACTGGGAGCCCAGGGGAAGCACAGCCTATTCTATCCACTCAAGTATAGACTTGGTGGGGGAGGGGCTGCCTGGCCAGATCTTGAGGGATATACGGGGGGTAGAGCTAGCAGGAAAGGCAGCCCAGGCAGAGGGCAGCTTATGCAACTATAGCAAGAGGTAGGAGAGCTGGGTGCTGGTGGCTCACATCAGTCATCCTACCTACTCAGGAGGCTGAGATCTGAGGATCAAAGTTCGAAGCCAGGAACAGTGCCCAGGCCCTGAGTTCAAGCCTCAATACCAGCACGAGAGAGAGAGAGAGAGAGAGAGAGACAGACAGACAGACAGAGAGAGAGAGACAGAGACACAGAGATAGAAAGACAGACAGAGACAGAGACAGACAGAGAAACAGAAAGATAAGGCAGTGTATAGGGTGCATAAATGGCACCTGGGGAGCACACAGGGGATATAGGTTAGCTGACAACACTTTACAAAGTACAGATTTTGGAATTTGTTTAGTTCCGGAGGACTATAGAAACTCTCCTGGTTTAAACTTATTTTAATTTACTGACTAATTATTTAGTTAACACTTATTGTGAATTATTATATACCAGGCATTGTATTATGTTTTTAACACCTTACCTCATTAATTTCTACTACCATTCTGTGAAGTAGGAGTTCAATTTTTTTTTTTTTTGCCGGCCGTGGACCTGAACTCTGGGCCTAGACGCTGTCCCTCAGCTCTTCAGCTCAAGGCGAGCGCTCTACCACTTGAGCCACAGCGCCACTTCCAGCTTTTTCTGTTTATGTGGTGCTGAGGAATCGAACCCAGGGCCTCAGGCATGCAAAGCAAGCACTCTACCACTGAGCCACCTTCCCAGCCCTCAATTTTTTTTTTTTTTTTTGGGTCCGGTCGTGGGGTCTGAACTCTGGGCCTGGGCGCTGTCCCTCAGCTCTTCAGCTCAAGGCTAGCATTCTACCACTTGAGCCACAGCGCCACTTCCGGCTTTTTTCTTTTTGCTTATGTGGTGCTGAGGAATCGAACCCAGGGCCTCATGCATGCAAGGCAAGCGCTCTACCACTGAGCCACCTTCCCAGCCCCTCAATTTTTTTTTTTTAATCAGCTTTGGAAACCTTTTAGCCTGGTATGGTGGCACATTCTATAATCCTAGTGGGGGATGGTAAAGGCAGAAGGATTGAGAGTTGCAACTAGCTTAGGCTACTATAGTAAGACCTTGTCTCAAAAACAAAAAGAAGCTGAAAGCTGGTGGCACATGCTTCTCCTAGCCATTCAGGAGGCTGAGATCTGAGAATTGAGATTCAAAGCCAGCCTAGGCAGAAAAATGCAAGACTCTTATATTCAATCAACTATTAAAAAAAAAAGTTGGAAGTGGCTGGGAGCTGGTGGCTCACACTTGTAATCCTAGCTACTCAGGAGGCTGAGATCTAAGGATTGTAGTTCAAAGCCAGACTGGGCAGGAACATCCATGAGACTCTTATTTCCAATAAACTATTCAGAAAAAGCCAAAAGTAAAGCTGTAGCTCAAGTGATAGAGGGCTAGCCTTGAGTAAAAGAAGCTCAGGGACAGAGCTCAGACCCTGCATCAAGTCCCAGGACTGGCACAGAAAATAAAAGATGCAAGTGTAGGTATAAGCTCAGGGACAGTGTCCAGGCTCCAGGACTCACACACACACACACACACACACACACACACACACACACACACACACACCCCTAAAGACATGGCCTCCCACATAGCTTGGAATGACATGAACCACTGCTAATAGCTCTGAATTGAGAAGGGAAGGGTCTGTGAGCTCTTGTGACCAAGCTGGTCCTGAGCTGCCATCTTCCTATTCCTAGCCTATCAAGTGGTTGAGGTTATAGGCACAAACTACTGGTACCCAGCTTGTTTTTTTTGTATTTTGTTTTTAAACAGAATCTCATTCACTTTAGCTGGGCTAGCCTAAAACTCCTGATCTTTTTGCCTCTACCTCCCAACTAGCTGAGATCACCACACCTGGCACAGTGCTTGCCTTCTGAGATGGGATTTATCAATGATTTCATCCTTCTTTTCTATAGAGCCTTCCTTCCTGAAGGCCTTACCTTTCATTCATTGGCCCTTTTTGGGTCAAGCCACCTTGCCCATCTGGGCTAAGAATTCTGGATGGACAGGGGACTAAGTCTTTAAGGGAGGATGTCCCTCACAGTGTGTGGTGGGAAGGGTTACACTTACTTGCTATCTCTCTTGCTGGCCTCAGAAATGCTACACTCCCCGCTGCCCTGCAGTGGCAGCAAGCCCAGTGGGGACACCCCAGATGTTTTCATCAGCTACCGAAGGAACTCAGGCTCCCAGCTGGCCAGGTAAGGAGGGACAGGCAGACAGTCTGGGGCTTTGGGCATGACCCTGATGGCAACACAGGACTCTTCTTCAGCCTCCTGAAGGTGCACCTGCAGCTGCATGGCTTCAGTGTCTTCATTGATGTGGAGAAGCTGGAAGCCGGCAAGTTTGAAGACAAGCTCATCCAGAGTGTTATGGGGGCCCGCAACTTTGTGCTGGTGCTGTCGGCCGGAGCACTGGACAAGTGCATGCAGGACCATGACTGCAAGGACTGGGTGCACAAGGTAGGTGCTAGACTGGATGTCTCCAGTAACAGCATTAGCCCAGGGCTGAGGGGGCAGGGTCCTCTTCTTCGAAGTTCTTCTTTTCTGCATTCAGCTGGAAATTGAGAGCCAAACTGGAAGTCTACAGCTCTAACGGGCATAGGGCTTTTTTTTTTTTTTTTCAGTAAAAGCACCTAAGTCTCTTAGGATATTATTACAAGGCAAGGATTAAAAGAGCTCAATTGTGAATTGCTTAATAGAATGCCTGACACATAGTAATTGCTGAAGAACGATAGCAATTCTATTAATATAATTATGACTACTATATCAGTTTAGTTCACTGCAGTGTCTCCATGCATGGCATGTAGAAGGAAAGTAGACTACTTACAGAAGGCATGAATAGATGGTTCTATATCACATCTTCTTATCAATCATTCATCAGTCAATAGGAATTGAGGGCTGGGCTGAGGGATGGAATAGTCATCTGAGGCTCTTGTCCTCAAGCTTTTGAGGTGACAAACATGTGACAGTGAGCTGTCATGGTGGCCTGTGGCTATAGTCCTAACTACTTAGAAGGCTAAAACAGAGGATTGCTTGAGCCCATGTGTTCAAGACCAACCCGGACAGCATAGCAAAACCTTGTATCTTATGCACATACTCTCTCTTACACACACACACACACACACACACACACACACACACACACACAGAATGTGTTCACAGTGACTAGATGATATACAAGTTGGTGTAAATACTAAGTCTAATAGCCAAACATCTCACTCATATTCCTACAGGAATATGGAGAAGGCTAGAATAATCACAGAAAGCTTCATAGAGGAAGCAGGACTTACAAAGAGTCTTAAAAACATAGGTGAACTGAAGAGAAGCCATCCTAGGCAGGGGAACAGCATGAGAGAATGAATAAAGGTATTCTAGCCCACATGCAGGGCTAGTATCACTCTCTCCATATCATAGATAAAGAAATTGAAGGCGGGCACCAGTGGCTCACACCTGTAATCCTAGCTACTCAGGAGGCTGAGATCTGAGGATTACAGTTCAAAGCCAGCCCAGGCAGGAAAGTCTGTGAGACACATCTCCAATAAACCACCAGAAAACAGGAAGTGGCGCTGTGGCTCAAGTGGTAGAGCACTCACCTTGAGCTGAAGAGCTGAGGGACAGGGCCCAGACCCAGAGTTCAAGCCCCACAACCAACAGAAAAGAAAAAAGAAAAAAAAATTGAGGCTTAGAGAAGCAGAATAATTCTTACATGGCCAGATTGCTAGTGCAGATGTCAGAAAAGCTTGGCTTTGAACTCTGACTCCAGAGCTCATGCTCTTGCTCAGGATCTATGCGGTGTCAATGACACAGATCTGAGGTTGTGCAAGGGGTGGTGGTGGGAGAGTATTGAACTCAGGGTTCAGGGTTCAGCAGATACCACAAGTGACTGTCTACATCTCTTTTCAACTTCACATTCAGTGATGTTGTATTGGTAGCTGGAACTCCATTGTGATAAGTGTATTTACACTAAGGAAACTGGCAACTTGTTCCAGTTAAGTTTGCCTGTATGATTGTTTGGTTGGGGTTTTCCCCATAGAGAGCTAGCTGTTCAATTGCAGCATTGATTGGATGAGGACTATGGAACCAGGTTATGGACTGTCTAAAGGTAAGAAGACTTGTGTTAAGCTCTAGGAAACAGGGAGATGCCCTGGCAGTGATGTTAGGACAACAGAGTGCAGTCTAGACTGCAGTGAGGAAAAAGGTCGAGTTCCAGAGGCATATAGGAGGGCTGAGGACTGGGCCTGGTTTGAGGAGGAGGCCTGGGGCCAAAAGAAATGCTGAAGGAGAACTAGGAATGTGTCGTAGAGGTAGAGTGCTTGCGTAGCATGCATGAAGCCCTGGGTTTGATTCCTCAGTACCACATAGAGAAGGTTGGAAGTGGCTCTGTAGCTCAAGTGTTAGCTTTGAGCAAAAGAAGTGCCCATATACTGAGTCCAAGTCCCAGGACTGGGAGAAAGAGAGAGAGACAGAGAGAGACAGAGAGACAGAGAAACAGAGAGAGACAGAGAGAGACAGAGACAGAGAGAGACAGAGACAGAGAGAGACAGAGACAGATGGAGGAGAGACAGAGACAGACAGAGACAGAGACAGAGAGGCTGAAGGAACACCACTGAGGATCTTGAGTTAGGTGGTAGTTAGCAAGTAGGGGAGAGAACTGTCACCTTGTTTGTGCTGCTGGAGTCTAAAATCATGCATGGAACAAAGGAGGCTTTAAAAGTATTGAATCAACGATTGAACGCATATCCACTTATCAGAAGTCTTGACCCTAGTCAAGCTTTTGTTCTCAGCCAGAGTGCTTTTGAACATCCATTCAACCATTATTGCTCTCTTTCTCTCTCCGTATGTGTATGTTTCAAATCCAGGGCCTCGTGAATGTTAGGCAAGGGCTCACCACTAAACCACACCCTAACCCTGGCATATTCCTTAATTGAACAGCCTCTGTGCAATGGGGAGTTATATTATCTTTGGTTTTGTACAATTCTGGACGAAACAGATGTCTAATTGTGTGCGGCAGGGTCAGAATTCATCAAGATGCTTAACAGTCCCAAACTTGCACTCTGGAAGGCTTGAGTTAGAGGCCTGGCCCCTCCTAGGCTCTAGGCCATTTGTGGGACTTGGGGAGATATCCCTTCCTCTCTGTATCTCTCCTCTTCCTCTGTAATGTAGTGAGGCTCCTCAAAGGCCACTTGGAGCTGAAGCTTTCCAGGCCCTTTCCCCAGGAAGATACTTGCCACCCATTGTCCCAACAGAGAAGGCAGGCAGGGTGATGGCAACCTTTGGCTTGGACCAGTCCCAAAAACTCTGTCATCCTTCTTGGGGTGTTTTTGAGTGCCTAAGTGCCTCTGGTTTTAATATTCCCTTCTCCAAAGCCACATTTAGTGGCTAATCAATATAGACAACCACAAATGAACTGCACTCAAGAAAGTCCCATCTCTGTGGTTGCTTCTTAAAAGGAAAAAAAAAAACTGATAAGAACTTACCAGAGTGCCATTAATAGTAAGTAATGTTCTCAGAACAATTGTGTGAGGGCAGTTTTATCATCCTCACTTTACAAAGGAAGAAATAAGAATTGTATTTTCATTTTTTGTATCAGTACTGGGATTTGAACTTGGGGGTTGGGAGCTATTTCTTTGCTTTTTTGCTCAAGGCTGGCCATCTACCACTTGAACCACAGCTCTACTTCCAGCTTTTTGTTAGTTAATTGTGGATAAGAGTCTCACAGACTTTCCTGCACAGGCTGGCTTCAAACCATGATCCTCAGATCTCAGCCCCCTCAGTAGCTAGGATTACAAGCATGAGTCACCAGCCACCTGGCCTGTCTTATGGTTTTAAGAGTCTCTGTCTGTGGTAGCTTGATCGATTGACTTTGCTGGCTTCTGGCATGGTGTAAGGAAGGATATGTAGAAGTACATAGTTCAGGGCTGGGAATATGGTTAGTGATAAGAGTGGTTGCCTAGCATGCATAAAGCCCTAGGTTTGATTCCTCAGTACCACATAAACAGAAAAAGCCAGAAGTGGTTCTGTGGCTCAAGTGATAGAGTGCTAGTCTTGAGCAAAAGCAGCTCAGGGATAGTGCCCAAACCCTGAGTTCTAGCCCCACTGGCAAAAAAATAAAGTACATGGTTCATGGTGTGTGATAGAGTACACTACTGACTTTATGGTGGTCAGGAAGCAGAAAATGAGAGAGGCGAGGGGGGAAGGTACCTAGGTAGGCTCCAATATACTGTTCAAGGTGTTGCCCCTGCATTCAAGTTGACCCATCCATCTTGAGTCCTGCCCCATCTCCTAAAATTTCTACCACCTCCAATGGTCCCATCAGCTGGAGACCAAGTCTTCTATGAGCTTTGGTGGGACACTTGAACTTGAAAGTGTTATAGCACTCTTCCTCCTCTCTCTTTGGTAGTATTGGGGTTTGAACCCAGGGCTGCACACTTTTGTTATTTTTGTGTTGTTGGTCATAGGGCTTGAACTCTGGGCCTGAGCACTGTCCCTGAGCTTTCCTGCTTAAGGCTAGCACTCTACTACTTTGAGCCACAGCTCCACTTCTGGTTTTCTGGTGGTTAAGTGGAGATAAGAGTTTCATGGACTTTCCTGCCCAGACTAGTTTCCAATTGTAATCTGAACTCTGGGCCTGGGCGCTGTCCCTCAGCTCTTCAGCTCAAGGCTAGCACTCTACCACTTGAGCCACAGCGCCACTTCTGACCTTTTTTTTTTTCTGCTTATGAGGTGCTGAGGAATGGAACCCAGGGCCTCATGCATGCAAGGCAAGCGCTCTACCACTGTGGTGGCTTGTTTTTGAGATGCAGGCTGGCTTTTTTTTTTGGCAAGGCTGGCCTCAAACCATGACCTTCCTACCTTTGTCACTGCACAGCTGGAAATACAGGTGTGCCACCACACTGGGCCTCCCCTCTCTTCTTTCTCCAGGAGATTGTAACTGCATTAAACTGTGGCAAGAACATCGTGCCTGTCATTGATGGCTTCGAGTGGCCTGAGCCCCAGACTCTACCTGAGGACATGCAGGCCGTGCTTACCTTCAATGGCATCAAGTGAGCTCCTGGGCCCTAGGGAACTGAGAGAGAGCCAATGCGGGGAATGGGAGAACAAATCGCCCAAGCGAATCACATGTGGGTAAAGCAACCAGGCCCTGGCCTGCAGCTCCCATGGCCCAGCTGTCTGACCCACTCAGCCTCTGTGCCCACAGGTGGTCCCACGAGTACCAAGAGGCCACCATCGAGAAGATCATCCGCTTCCTGCAGGGCCGTTCCTCTCGGGAGTCATCTGCAGGCTCCGATACCAGTTTGGAGGGTGCTACAGCCATGGGCCTGCCCTAGCCAGCCTCCCAGCAACCAAACCCTGCTGTGACTCCCATTTCCAGAGTCTTCCCCCAAGGAACAGCTCCTCAAAATGGCTGCCCGGGGCCTTCTCAGGAAATGGCTCTGCCTTTCCCTACCCTCTTGGTCCACTTCAAACCCACTTTCCTCAATATCTGGAGGTGTGGGAGAAGTCTTCCTCCCTCAGACTCTGTCATCAGGTTCTCTGCTTTCTACTCCTAGAGCCAGGTCCCTGCTCTGCTCTGGAGAAACAAGACATTGAGGAGAAGGGAGAAGAGTCTTCTTCCTGATTAGGGTAAAGGCAGGCAGCCTCTGGTAGGAAATTAGAGAAATAGGCTCTCTGCCTGGGCCTCTTAAGTCTGAGCTAGGGCCTAGGCCACAAGGCAGCCAGAGATGCATATCCTGGTATGGCTGTCCCCTGAGACTCTGGTCCCTGGCTTGCCCCTTTCTGCTGCCTTGTCATCTTACTGTGGAACCACTCACTGCTGCCTCCCACACCCCCCTCCTTCTACCCCAGCCTTCCTTTGGGGCAGCTTTCTCTGCCATATCTCTGGTTTAGGTTGGGCTGAACTGGCCATTTGGTTATACTTTCTGGTGCAAAGAGTCACCCCTGCCTGGATAGGGGAGGCTCTGTCTCAAAGCCACCTTACCCTATTCCTTGGTATTGTGCCTAAGGGTCCTGCCTGACCTAAGCAGGCTGGTTTACCCAGCCTCTCACCCACTCAGGCTTGCTCCCTGTTGCGCAGGGAAGCAACCAGTAGCCTAGGCAAAGCCTGCAATTCTACGAGGCGAGATCCCCAGGAGCACAGGTTAGTCTTAGGACAGTTTTTGCAACTGCAGTATGCATGCAACCCACTGGGAATATTGCTTAAATCCAATTCAGGAGATGAGCAGGTTGGGGCTGAGTCTGCCAATGGTCACTGACCCCCAGCTCCAATGATATCGATGCCTCAAAGGACAGTGCTTTGAGCAGCAGCTCCTCACAGACCCCTGCCATTTCCCAAACCCTTCCTTCACAGTCTCTCATCACCACAGCATCCCTGTCCTGTAATATCACTCCCATTGTGGATAAGGAAGAGAGGCTGAGTGATAAGCCCAGTTCCCAAGTCTACAATGGCAACCCTAAGACACCCCAGGTGGAATTGCTATCCTGAACATCATCCCCCAGGAAGAGTGGGAGCCAGACAGAAGTGACCAGCAGGAGCATCCCCCGGCCCCTCCCTGCACTGGAGGACTTGAAAGCAGTCAGGCTCCGGCAGGCAGAATTGACTGATACAGGCCATGTATCTGTCCCACTGTTTCCCTCTGAGGGTGGACGGGGAGGGGTCAAACAAGGCTGTTGTTACTCCCAGATCTCTGCATGGGGAGCTGGCCAAGTCCCCCTTGCTCTTGGAACACATAATCTCTCTCCAGGCTTGAACACCTTCCTTCCTCTCCTCTCCCTGCCAAAGACTTCTACTGGTCCTAGCCTAAATCTGGCTTTGACTCCCCACCATCCTCCCACAGCTAGGCAGTGAGAACTCTCACTCTCCAGGAGTAATCCTAGTTGGTGCCACGACCTCAAGAGGTTCCCACCGGCATTACTTGAGAAGTCACTAGTTTTTCTGTTTGAGACACACTCCATTGCTGTCCACTGCCATTGTCTGACCCTTTGGTGACCCCTGAGCCTCTCCTGTCTTCCTAGACAATCAGAGCCCAATCTCCTGACCCAGCCAATGTCAGTGACCAGCCTCCCCACAGGCAGGCCTGTAGCTCAGGGGTGATGCCCATGACAAACATGCTCAGACTGCAGCCAGAGCCAGCACCTGGGCTCCAGCTTCCACCCAGTCACTGCCCTGACTCAGATCTTCAGGGCCAGGGTTTTCTGCTTGGCTAGTCTACAGCTGCTGCACTCCTCCCCCTCTCCCCCCACCCCACGGTGTTTGGTGCTGAGTCAGCAAGGTCCCTAAAACCCCACCCACCACTCACTTCACCCACCCTTCCCCAGAGGCCATGAGCTGTTCAGGGACACTTAGAAGGCAAAATTCCAGTTACAATTCATTCAATCCCTCTACCAGGCCCACAAACACAGGCATCTCACTCCAGAACTATTATATGAGGTGGGAGGCACCTCCAAGCATCCAACTAGTGCATCTGACCAAGTGGGAGCCTCACAATCAGTGTGCAGCATTGCTGACCCAGCCCTTCCTAAAGGGACTTTTGCTCAAGGTCAATCAGCTAGTCAGAGGACAGGCTCAGCCTGAGACCGGCATACAGCCTTTTCCTTCCTCCGCCCCATAGCCCTACATGGTTGGTCAGTGGAGGTCTTCTCCTTGCCTCGCTCTGCCAGTTAGAGGGGACAGTGAGGCAGGAGTCTGGAAACAGGCTCATGCTGTGAAGTCTAGCCAGCCCTACTGTATCTTGGGTTACCCCCCTTTCATGTGTGTAATTTCCAGCTAGGAGAGACTTGCTTACAGGGGAAGTGAGAGAGAAGAAAAAGGAAGGGGGGGGGAAGCAGAGCCCAGGCCCCATGGGTATTCCAGTTTGAAGAGTCAAGAATCACATGACTTGTGTTTGCTAGGGGGTCTTACAGCTCTCTTTTAAAGCCAGTGCCTTAATATTCAATAAGATTCTACCTTTCAGCTTCAGACCCAGACCTTGCTAGCTTCCCAGACATGAGGCTACCATTCTCTGGGAAGCCAGGTCATGTGGGAAGTTGAGCCCAGCTCCCAGGTTCCTGTTGACCTATGGAAGCATAGAGGATGGTCTCAGCACACAGCCTTGCCCAGTGTCAGAGGGCAGAGTGGCAAGAAAAATGGATCCTACCTGTGTTGGTATAGCCAGGAAGACCAATATAGTTCCTTGCAGGCTCTGGGTGTGCTCCTCCCCCCCCCCCCAGGAATAAGTAGCCAGGATCATGCCCCATGCCTGGCAGACTTTCAGCATTCAACAGCTTGCTTGGAGATAAGGCTATAAGGCTGGATGGCCATTTCCACCATCAATCCCCACCCCTCCCCCTGCATATCCTCAGCCGCTGGTATGCTGGTATCCCACCAGCAGCCCAGCATGAGTAAGACAGAGAGACCCAGAGCCCAATGCCCTGGGGCTTGGAGGGTTCTCTTCAGTTTGATTTAACTGATTTATTGTACCAGCTGGCACTACTGAGGTCAGGGTTGAGTAGGCTGTGGTGAAGGACTGGTTCACAACCGTGACCCTCTTCCTTTTGGCCCCCAAGGCTGGAAGTGGCCAGGTACCATAATTCATCATTAAAAACTGATTGTTAGTGGTTGTACACATCAGAAGCCTAGTACCATGGGCCATGCTGTGCAGTGTAGGCCAAAGGGAAAGATGCCAGCTCCCATGTTTCACCTGGTTCCTGAAATATCACCTCCCCCTCCCCTGGAGGGATTGAAGTGATGGTATCAAGGCTAAACAGACCGATGCTCCAAATGGCTCCCTGGAGTGAGCCTGACAGGTGAAGAAGATTACAGATCCTAGACAGAGGCTGGCTCAGTTGTGAACAGGTGGTCCCCTGCTCTAACTTAAACAAGTTGTCCAAGGTAAGCACTGCCCCCTGAGGAGGCCGCTGGCTCCGCTGGGCAGATTTCCAGACGATCCATGTTCACACTGCACCTCTTGCCCTCTTGTCTTCTGTCCACACAGATTAGGGGCTCTGAGGAAACTGCTGGAATTCCAGGTGAGGATAGGTCCTTTCCAGTATCCTGAAAGGGGCCAGAGAGAGGGTTCAGAGTTGATATGAAGAGTGCACTCAGTCTGAAGAAGTGACACAGGACTGACTTGAGTGGGCGGGCCCAGTTTCCCACCTCAGCCCCTCCCGCCTCAAACTAGGCCAGTGCTGCCATCATAGCCCTATGTCTAACATGGGGATGAAGAGGACTGAGGGGATCCAGAACAGAGGGCACAGCTTTACCAAGTGGGAGTGATAAACTGAGCCCTCCCCTACATGGAGAAGGTCTCCTGGAGGATCAGAAAAGTCAGCCTGGGACAGGGCACCCCCAAGGAAAAGGGTTCAAGAACCATTTCCTGTTAAGAGTAGGAGAGAGTGGAAACTTTTAGATTCAGAGTCAAGCATTACCCAATCAGAATGGCTGGAATGAAGAGAAGGCCAGCTCCCAGGAGGAAAGGGAAGCCCTTCATGAAGTTCAGGGTGGCTGGGTAGAGCGAGTTGAAGATGCCAGAGGCTGTCAGCATGGCCAGGGTATTCACACAGGCCACAGCAGAAAAGAGAGCACCTGTGAAGAGGAAGCAGAGGACCTGTTCCAGAGTTTGCAAGAACCAGGGTCCATCCTGGCACCACTGCCTCACATCTGTGTGACCCGGGGCAAGGCACTTAACCTTTCTATCTCACCTTCCTCACCTGTGAATCCTAGTGTGTCACGTACTATGATAAAGATTCAATAAAGTCATGCATGGAAAATTCCTGGCACAGAGGGGCTACTAAATAAATGACATGCGATGTCTTTTCTGTTACGTGTATGCCATTACAGGGGCTTGAAATCCAGGCTTTGGGCTCAAGCTTGGATTTTTGCTCATATCTGGCACTCTACCATTAGAGTCACACCTTCACTTCTGACTTTTTGCTGGTTAACTACAGAGAAGAGTTTCTTGGCTTTGTCTGTCCAGGTTGGCTTTGAACCTTGATCCTTAGATCTCAGCCTCCTGAGTAGCTAGGATTATAGGCGGGCCCAGCTAAAAGATTGTTTTTTACTCCTATTCTACTCACATCTTTGGGCTCAGGGGAGGGGACAAAAAAGCTTTTAAAAGGAATGAGTGAAGCGCCAGGGTTCTGGGACAGCTGGGCCCAGAGTGGGCTGTGTGCTGCACCAGGATCTGTGTTAACCAGCAGATCTTCCTTCTAAGAGAGACATTACCAGATAGAGTACCAGAACCCAGAGTCCTGAGCAGCTGGCACAAGGGTGCCAGCAGAATGCAACTTGCAAAATGAGCAACAACTCAATAGACACTGAGATTAAACTGGAAGAGCCTATAGTTGTCACCAAGTGCAAACACTCAGAGATAAAGAAACTGAGGCCCAGGACAGAGCCAGGACTGAAACCCAGCTCCTGAGATGCACTGTTCTTAGAAACAGACCTGGGTATGCATCCTGGTTCTACCCTTCACTTAAGTGGCCTTGGGGGAGTCAAGGTGTCCCATGGGCCTTTGTGTCTTCATCTGTCAACTGGGGGCAATGAAACCTGTATCACAAGGCTGGTCACTCCCTCTTGGCTGGTACACCATTACTCCAAGGAAGCAGAGAACCCTAGGATCCCTATACCCACTTCACAGGCCAAAAAACTGAGGTGTAGGGACTAAATCCTTTGTTCCTTTATGGAGTTTCTGGGTTTCCCAAAAAAGAACACAGTCATGCTCTTCTGACTGTAATTCCAACTCTGAGGACTCAGGGTCTAAAGCAGTCTTTTGCCAGCCCTGGGAGGAGGATAGGCTCTTCCCTTTCAGGATGGCCCAACTGCACCACTGGGCATGAGCAACCAACTGGAGACAGACCCCGCTCTTACCCTGGTCTGACTTGCCCACCAGCTTGGACAGTTTGGCCCGGATGATAGGTGTGATGACTAATGACAGGAAGAGCAAGCCATACCCTGTGGAGAAAGAAACAATCATCAGGGAAGTGGATCTGAGGAGAGGGGCACCCAGGAAGAGGCAGCAGAGCTCCTATACATACCCGAGGTGGGACTTAGGTGAGACCCAGAAAGAATTTCCTGGATGGTGAGGATAGGGAGGCAAGGTCTAGCAGGTATGGAGGAGGGCTACCCTTCTCCAGGCTCACCTCTCTGCCCTTCGCAGATGAGCATAATGCCAGTCCTGGGGCTTAAATTCCTGGGTCCCTGAGCTTCTTTTGCTCAAGGCTAGCACTCTACCACTTGAGCCACAGTGCCACTTCCAGCTTTTATGTGGTACTGAGGAATCGAATCCAGGGCTTCATGTAAGCACTCTACCACTAAGCCACATTCCCAGCCCTGAGCATAATGCTTTCTTGCTAAAATAGTGGCCACAGCAGGCATCACTCACCCACTTAGCACCTAGTGAAGAGATGATAGGCCACAGAAAACAATCACAGGCTTGTTCAGTCCCAGGTTCAACATCTGATGGTACTGCTTACTTTGTATGACTTAAGAGTCTTTACTTCTCTGTGTTTACTTTGTATGACCTAAGATTATCCTTTCTGAGCCCAGCTTCCAGTCTGTGAAAGGAAGATAACAGAGCCTTCATCATAGAATGGCTGTGCCCAGTAGGATGCTGAACAGTGCAATGACACCCCCCCCCCCATTCCCTCACCAAGTACAATCAGGTCCTGGAATCTGTAAACAAGAGTCTTATTTGGAAAATGGCCCTAAGCATATCTGATTAAGGAAAGGATCTTGAGAGGGCAGATTGCTCTGGATTGTGAGGCTGGGCCCTAAACGCAAATTATACAGACCCTATCAAAGGTAGCCAAGAGGTCTGAAACAGACAGAATTGAGAAGGCACAAAGGGGAGGGAGACACAGAGCTTCAGACTGGTGGGCATGGCCACAAGCCAAGGAGTGAGGGCAGCCGTGGGAAGTAAAGAGGCAACAACTATTCTCCTACAGACTGCCCTAGAGAGCACTGCCCTGCAACACTTTGATTTCAGCCCAGTGATCTTGGAATTTTGGCTTCCAGAACTGTAAGAGAACAAATTTCTGTTGTTTTAAGTCAGCCAGCTTGCGGGAATTTGAAACAAATACAGGAGACGCATAGGTAATATCTACAGAGAACACATCACAGTAAGGATAGTTTTCCTTCTGCGTTCAGATTAACACTGCTTTCTCAGTTAACTATTCCTATCCCTTGTATGACTTCTGTCTCCTAGCTAAAACTCCTATAATCCTAACTACTCAGGAGGCTGAGAGCTGAGGATTGCAGTTCAAAGCTAGCTGGGGCAGGAAAGTCCAAGAGACTCTTATCTCCAATTTAAACACCAAAAACCAACAACAACAAAACCCAAAACAACAACAACAACAACAACAAAACTGGAAGTGGAGCTGTGGCTCAAGTGGTACAAGGCTAGTCTTGAGCAAAAAAACTCAGAATCTCAGAGACTGCACCTAGGCCTGAGTTCTAGCTCTAGGTACACATGCGCACCCTTTCAATTAAAGAGTCCATTCAGGACTCAAGACTTCCCCCCCACCAAAAAAAATACATAGATAATTCTGTTGAGACTTCCCAGAGCAATGACAGTGTCTTCATCATTTCAGTACCCCAAGGGTTGCAAGCATAATCAAAGGTACTTAGTCCTGGCCCAAGCAAAAGTAAGTTCTCAATACACCATCTCAACCAATGGATGGATGCAGTACCATATACCTGACATCTTCAGAGACAAAAGGAAACACAAGTGGGAAGATCATAGCCCAAGTTGGCCTTGACATAAAGGTAGACTCTACCTTGAAAATAACCAACACAAAAAGGGCCTTGGAGGCATGATCCAAGTGACAGAGCACTGCCTAGCACTCACAAGACACTGAGTTCTCTTGGGCTTCACTGTCTGACAAGCAACTGACAAAATCAAATCTGTGACTACTAAACAGCTAACTTTAAACACATATGTTAGGGCACTACTGAAATAAGTCTGCTCCTTTAAAAAAGTTAACTTCTCCAATCCATAGCCAGCTGCCCCTTCCAACCAAAAATAAACAGGAGAAGAGGAAGGGGGGTAGGGAGGAGAAGGAAAGAAAGAGCAGGAAGTGAGAAAAACTGAGCAAGCAAGAATTTCAGATCTGTGGCTTGAGAAGACTATTAAAAAAAAAAAAGCCTATAATCCTAGCTACTTGGGAGATGGAGATCAGGGCTCAATGCCAGCCTGGGCACAAAAAATTCATAAGACTTCATCTCAACCAATAGTTGGTAGATGTGGTGGTATGCGCATGCAGTGGTGTCAACCTATCATCTAAGCATCAAGAGGAAGTACAATGGTTGAGCACAATGGCATACACCCGTCATCCCAGTTACACAGGAAGTCTACAAAGAATGATCATCTAGGCCATCCCAGGCAAAAACTGAGACTTTTCTAAGTAACTAAAAAGCAAAAAGGGCTAGGGTGGGGCTTAAGTGGTAGAGCACTTGCCTAACAAGTACAGGGCCCTGAATCCAGCAACAACAAAAAAGTAATCATAGAAACAAGCCCAGTGCTGGTGGCTCGTGCCTGTAATCCTAGCCACTCAGGAGGCTAAGGTCTGAGGATCCAAGTTTGAAGACAAACTTGGCAGGAAAGTCTGTGACACTCTTTATCTCTAATTAACCACCAAAGAGCCAGAAGTGGAGATGTGGCTCAAGTGTTAGAGAGCTATCCTTGAGAGAAAAAAAAAATCAGGGAAGGCCCAGGCTCTGAGTTCAAGCCTCAGAACTGGTACACATACACACACAAACACACGTGCACACACATACACACACACACACAGAAATTTTTAAAAAGCTGACTATGATACTTGGAGTAGGTCCTATAATTCCAATCAGAGGGCTGAGGCCTGAAACATTAATGGCTTGGACTTTGCTTAAGAACACTGTGAACAAGCTACACGAGGCCAAGGGGTGAAGCAATTAGTATATGAACCATACTTTTGTCTTTGTATACTGCTAATAGTTATGGTTGATAAACCTGCATTAATTACTTTGACTCTTGAGCCTATGCCTTTTCTGTCTACCAAGGATGCTATTTTTCCAAGGTCTTCTAAGTTGTCCTCCAGTGCAGGCTGAGGGCAAAACTGGGGTTCAAGCCACAGGCACAGGCTTGAACTACACTGAGGACGATGAGTGACTGACATCCTCACCCCCCATTTTCACCTCATGCCACTGGTTCTAGCTGTCTCTCAGTCCACACACTTTACCTGTAAACATGAGGGCTGTAATGGTTGCAAATGCAAAGACCACCATCCCCAGGATGTTGAAGACCAGGCCGATCTCCGCCACCCACACATCAGCCAGGCAGAACTGCATCAGCCGCAGGACAATCAGGCTGGTGAGGTAGGGAAGGTGCTGAGCTGCAGAACCATAGCCAATCAGCTTGGAGTCCCAGCAGAGGGGAGCACTCAGCTCATAGAGGGTCAGGATGTCCTGGGCCCCAAAGTGCACAGTAATCACCACAAAGATGGCCAATGAGTACAGGGCTATATGCTTCCGGGGCTTCTCTGGGGCTGATGCCACATAGAGCTGGAAAATCGATCGGTGATGATGGAGAGTGAAGAGCCGTGTGGACTTTGGCTCCTTCATGGTCTCACCAAAGCAGAATGCTGAGTACAGAGTCATGACGATCAGCAAGGCCAAGGCTAGCCAGAAAGGGTTGGCATAACCCTGGGCCCGAAGCCAGTGGCCCCCAAGAAGGCTCGCCAGCATCCCGGCCAGACCAATGCAGGCTTCCAGCAAGGCCATCCGGAAGGTGCGGCTGTGTCTGGAGCTGACATCGGCCACAGAGGCAAAGCTAGCAGCTAGCAGTCCATTAAAATCGCCAAAGAGGGCACAAAGGATGCGGCCTAGCACAAAGAAACCAACATGGAGCTCCAGCTGGACTATGAAGATTGACACCACAACCTGGAGCAGCAGGCCTAGGGAGGCCAGTACCAGTAGTGGGCGGCGGCCCACACAGTCACTCCAGGCTCCCAGCAGAGTAGACCACAAAAGTCCCACCAGGAAGCCGCCCAGATTCATGTAGAGGGTCCAGTGGGAGGTGAGGGTCTCTACTTCCTGTAGGGACACAAAGACCAAGGAGCAATTCCTCACTTGAGTTGCCTGCCTGCCACATATCAATCACCACCTTGGGCAGAGTGGAGGACTTTCTTTGGAGCCCTAAGCCTTAGAGAATCTTCATATAACTCTTAAAAAAGGATTGAGTGGGGGCACTGGTGGCTCATGCCTGTAATCCTAGCCACGCAGGAGGCTGAGATCTGAGGATTGCAGTTCAAAGCCAGCCTAGGCAGGAAAGTTCATGAGACTCTTATTTCAAATTAACCACCAAAAAGTCAAAAGTGGAGCTGTGGCTCAATTGGTAGAGCTCTAGCTAGCCTAGAGTAATAAAAAAAAAAAAAAGGCTCAGGGACAGAGCCAAGGCCCTGAGTTCAAGCTCCAGTAAGTAAGTAAAAATAAATAGCCCCAAATGGCAATACCTTTGTAAAACTAAGATTTTTATATATATATATGTATGTATATATATATATATATATTTTTTTTTTTTGGGGGGGGGGGTCAGTTATTGGGCCTGAACTCTGGGCCTGGCCTCTGTCCCTCAGCTCTTCAGCTCAAGGATTGCGCTCTACCACTTGAGCCACAGCGCCACTTCTGGCTTTTTCTGCTTATGTGGTGCTGAGGAATCGAACCCAGGGCCTCAGGCATGCAAGGCAAGCGCTCTACCACCGAGCCACCTTCCCAGGCCCTAAGAAATAATTTTTTAAAGTTTTTTTCTTTTTAATCCTCACTTTATTTTAGAGCTGATCTTGGGCTTGAACTCAGGACCTAGGCACTGTCTCTGAGCTTCTAGCTGAAGGCTAGCAGCTCCCCACCACTTGAGCCACTGCTCCACTTCTGGCTTTTTGTTGTTGTTGTTGGCAGTTTATTGGAGGTAAGAGTCTCACAGCCTGTCCTGCCCCAAGCATGGCTTGGAACCGCGATCCTCAGCTCTTCAGCCTCCCGAGTAGCTGGGATTACAGCGGTGAGCCGGCAATCCCTGCTTCTCCAGGACAGCCCGTACCCCACCAAGCGACGGTTCTCCGGAAGTCCCACCCCCATCCCCACACTTGCGCTGGCCCCGCCCCTCGCTCCCCCAGCCCCAGCCTCGTGGGGGGAGGGACGGGGCCTCCCCCCGCCCCTCGTCACCTGCATGGCGGGGTTGACGCTGTGGTTGCCGCAGCCCCCCCGGTGGCGGGTGCCGTTGTAGCCCAGGTCGGCGCTGAATCGGTGCCATAGGTACTGCGTGGTGAGCGGGCCCTGCAGGACCAGCGCGAAGTTGGCCAGGAAGACCACGGGCTCTACGGGGCCGCAGCGGAGCGTGCGGCGAGGCCGGGGCTCGCTCGCCGGGCTGGCGCGCCCCTCCATGGCGCACGCGCACGCGCGTGGGTCGCGGCCGGAGCCTGGCGAGCGGTGGAGCTGCGTGCGCACGAAGCCCGGCTCGGGAGGTCCGGACCCGCGCTGCGGTCTGCGCCTGCGCCGCCTCCCGCCGCCCTTCTTAAAGTCTGGAGAGGCGGGGCGTGACACCTCAGCCCCTAGTTTCCTGCCTGGCCCGGCCTGCTCTCTGGGCTAGGTGTGCCTGGTTAGGGGGGGTAGGGGGGCCCACTGCCCTGGTCCGCAAGGTGACCTCACCTGTCAGCACCAAGACACAGCGAGGATCCCTCCCCGGCCCAGGAACAGTCACACCAATAACATCAATAATTAACGTTTATTGAGCACTTACTATGTGCTGGGCACAGGGTTAAACTGCACGCTTTCATCTCCCCATAACCCTCTTGGCTAGCCACTATTAAGGATCTAAAGCTGAAGCCAGGCCAACGGGGCCACGGAGTTAGCACGCGTGACTCCTGGTGCCCCAGGAGGAGGCAGCTTGGAAGGGAGGCCTGAAGTTCGAATCCAACCTGGACTCTGCTGAAAGGAGGCACTTTGCAGGAGAGGTGCCATGATGGAGTTGAGAAGCCATGTCAGCAACCGGTGGATACACTTGAGAAAACCCCTTTAAGAAAAACAAGTAGGGGGGGGGGGGGGCTGGAAAGGTGGCTCAGTGGTAGAGTGCTTGCCTAGCACACATGAAGCTCTGGGTTCGATTCCTCAGTACCACATACACAGAAAAAGCCAGAAGTGGCACTGTGGCTGAAGTGGTAGAGCGCTAGCCTTGCGCAAAAGAAGCTCAGGTGCAGTAGCCCTGAGGACAGTGGCCCCGGGACTGGCAAAAAGAAAAGTACAGGATGTAGCCTGTGGGTAACTCATTCTGAGAAATGAGCTTCGCACCTGCATTTTTACTAATAACCAGATACCTTACTTCTGTACTGTGCTTGGCTTGCATGACATTGGAAAGTTAGGGGGATTCCATTGATGCATGACCCCTCCCCATTTGGGGGTATAAAAAGTTGCTCAGGGCTGCTTCTGGGTTCCAGATACCTAGGAGTAGTTGTAGCCGGTCGCAATTGGCTGTTAATAAATTCCTTTTGACCGTTAATAAATTACCTCTTAATTAAGATTTAATTGTGAGTACATGGTTTGTTCCCTGGGGATCCTCGACTCCTAACACTGCAACTATCTTTGTTGTGCTACTTATCTCCAGTAGGCTTTTCTTTTTTCCCCAATTCATTCATTCATTAATATTTTTATTTGTATACATTAGTTGTACAAGGGAAGTTTCATTGTGACATATATATGGAGACATGCATACATGCAATGTACCCATCAACCTCACCTTCTCTCTCTCATCACCTACTTGTGTATGTGTGTGTGTGTGTGTGTGTGTTTGTAATTAGAGATAAGAGTCTCACAGACAGCCGGGCACTGGTGGCTCACGCCTGTAATCCTAGCTACTCAGGAGGCTGAGATCTGAGGATCGTGGTTCAAAGCCAGCGCGGGCAGGAGAGACCATGAGACTCCTATCTCCAATAAACCACCAGAAAACCGGAAGTGGCGCTATAGCTCAAGTGGTAGAGCGCTCGCCTTGAGCTGAAGAGCTGAGGGACAGTGCCCAAGCCCAGAGTTCAAGCCCCACGACCGACAAAAAAAAAAAACAGTCTCACAGACTTTGCTACCTATGTTGGCTTTCCATGATCCTCAGATCTCAGTCTCTCTCTCTCTTTTTTTTTTTTTGGTTGGTCATGGAGCTTGAACTCTGGGCCTGGGCACTGTCCCTGAGCTCTTCAGCTCAAGGAGAGCTCTCTACCACTTTAGCCACAGAGCCACTTCTGATTTTCCGGTAGTTAATTGAAGATAAGAGTCTCATGGACTTTTCTGCCCCGCCTGGCTTTGAACTGAGATCCTCAGATCTCAGCCTTCTGAGTAGCTAGGATTACAGGTGTGAGCCACCAGCACGAAGCTGGTATGTGGTATGTGACACTGGGATTTGAACTCACAGCCCCACATATGTTAGGTGCTGTGCTGCTGAGTCACACCTCCATCCCTGCAATTCCTCATCAGTATAAAAGCTACCTCTTGTGAAAATTAAAATGTTTATGACTCTAAGTATCACTATTCCACAATACTGTGAAACATGTGAAATTTATGTAATCACCTAATCTCAATTAAAGAAAAAAAAGTGAGAGAAGGGATGGGTTAAGAGAGATGGGTGACGGGGCTGGGAAGGTGGCTCAGTGGTAGAGCGCTTGCCTTGCATGCCTGAGGCCCTGGGTTCGATTCCTCAGCACCACATAAGCAAAAAGAAAAAAGCCGGAAGTGGCACTGTGGCTGAAGAGCTGAGGGACAGCGCCCAGGCCCAGAGTTCAGGCCCCACGACCAGACCCTCCCCCAAAAAAAAAGAGAGAGAGAGAGAGAGAGATGGGTGACAATGTTGTTAGACACTTTGTACTCATATACCATTTTGTAGAATGGGAACTTCTTTGTACAACTACTTTAAGATAATTATATATATATACACACATATATATTATATATATAAGCTACCTCATACTCACAAGACAATATGTTGGAAATGATCTGTACAACTTGGGGAGGGGGGATTGGAAGGGAAGGGGATTGGAAGGGAGAAAAAAGAGGGAGGGGATAACAAGTTCAACAGAAATGTACTTATTACCTTACTTATGTAACTGTAAACCCCTCTGTACATCACCTTGACAATAAAATTTTTAAAAAAATTTTTTTAAGCTACCTCAAAGAGGTGTTGGGAAAGAATGGGATCTGGTATGTTGACAGTGTTATTATAGCTGGGTGTGGTGGTGCTGGCATGTGATCCCAGCTAAGGGGAAGGTCATAGGTAGGGAGGATTGTAATTTGAGGCTGGCTCTGGGAAAGAAACTTGAGACTTTACCTGAAAAATAGTCAAAGCAAAACAGGCATCACACCTTTAATCCTGACTACCCAGGAGGCTGAGATCTGAGGATTGCAGTTCAAAACCAACCCAGGCAGCAAAGTCTATAAAATTCTTATCTCCAATTAACTACTGGAAAACTGAAAGTGGTGCTGTAGCTCAAAGTGGTAGAGCCCTAGCCTTGAGGGAAAAGCTCAGAGACAGTACCAAGGCCCTGAGTTCAAGCCCCATAACTGACAAAAAGAAAAAAGAATAAAAAGACCTAGAATGTTAGCCATTTCACGGGCACTTCCTGGAGAACATGGTAGACTGTAAATCTTTATCTTTTTTTTTTTTTTTTCCTGGTCCTGGGGCTTGAACTCAGGGCCTGGGCACTATCCCTGGGCTTCATTTTGCTCAAGGCTAGCACTCTACCACTTGAGCCACAGCGCCACTTCCAGTGTTTCCTGAGTAGTTTATTGGAGTTAAAGAGCCTCACAGATTTTCTTTCCTACCTGGGTTGATTTCAAATTACGATCCTCGGATCTCAGCCTCCTGAGTAGCTAGGATTACAGATGTGAGCCACCAGTACCTGGCCATATTTGTTTTTAATTAGCACTCGCAGTTAAAAGTATTTTGAGTCTTCCCCAAAGAAAAAGGAAAGGAAAGGGCTATCATTAATAGTAGGCTATCATTTGGCCTTTTCCTACCCTAGGAGGAATAGTGGGAGGGGGAGAGGTGGGGGCCTGTAGGGTGTCACCCTATGCTCCTGGGTGCTTCCCATGTCAGAACCAGCCAGGGAGGAGGCAGTCAGCTGCTGAGGGAGGAGGCAGTCAGTCACCTGTTGAGGCTCTGGTCCTGCCGAGCCGCTCTGGTCCCTTAACTCTCTGGGCCTCAGTTTTATTGCCTGTAAAATAGATCACAGTACCTGCCTCACCTCCCTATCATTTGTTATTTGTCCAGTAATTCAGAGTATTTATTGAGTACTGTAAGGTCCGCTCCTGGATGGCTAGCAGACTCCACCCTCCTCGCAGCAAAGTCTCCACCCAGTACCTGCGTTCCCTAGGCAACTGGCACACCTGGAAGAGGTCCCATCTGCATCTGCTGAGGTCACATCTGAATTGGATGTGGCCACACCTTTCTCCGCCCATACCCTAGATAAGGCCTAGTGCAGGCCCAGGCTCTCTCTCTCTGTTCTATTCTAGCTCTCTTTGCTCCCTAGCTCTCGCTCTGTTCTTTTCTAGCTCTCCCTGCTCTCTCTGCTTTTGGCTCTCTCTCTGCTTTCTCGCTGCTCTTTTCTAGCTCTCTCTGCTTTCTCTCTGCTCTAGCTCTTTCCTCTCTCTTTCCTCTCTTCCCCAGCTCTCTCTCTCATTCCCAGGCCTTTCCCAGCCATGTGGAGTGCCAACCTTGCCTGGTCCCAGCAGGTCTACTGAATAAACCTACCCCTTACCTGAATACCATGTGCGTGCTGCTGTTCTTACTGGGCTACCTCTTTTTAAAAACCTAACAAGTACCTCTTATTTACCAGGCACTCCACTGGGAGTCTGTGAACACAACAGTGAAAGAAATAAGACAAATATCAATGGTTCACATCTGTAATCCTAGCTACTCCGGAGGCAAAGAGCTGAAGATCTCATGTTCAAAGCCAGCCAGAGGAGGAAAGTCTGTGAGATTCTTCATCTCCAATTAACCACCAAAAAGCTGGAAGTGAGCCGGGCGCCCATGGCTCACACCTGTAATCCTAACTACCCAGGAGGCTGAGACCGAGGATCAAAGCCAGCCCAGGCAGGAAAGTCTGTGAAATTCTTATCTTGAATAAACCACTAGAAAACTGGAAGTGGCGCTGTGGCTCAAGTAGTAGAGTGCTAGCCTTGAGCTGAAGAGCTGAGGGACAGCGCCCAGGCCTAGAGTCCAAGTCCCACGACTGACAAAAAACAAAAGCTGGAAGTGGAGCTACAGCTCAAGTGGTAGAGGGCCAGCCTTGAGCAACAAAGCTAAGAAATAGAGCCCAGGCCCTGAGTTTGAACCTCAGTACCAGCACAAAAATAAGAACTAAATAAACAATTAAATTCTTTGCGTGTGTGTGTGTGTGCGTGTGTGTATGTGTGTGTGTGTGTGTGTGTGTGTGTGTGTGTATAGGGGAGTGGTGGTCATGAGGCCTGAACTCTGGGTCTAGATGCTGTCCCTCAGCATTCCAGCCTAAGGCTAGTACTCTACCATTTGAGCCACAGCACCACTCAGGCTTTTTCTGCTTACGTGCTACTGAGGAATCGAACCCAGGGCCTCATGCATGCAAGGCAAGCGCTCTACCACTGAGCCACCTTCCCAGCCACAAATAAATTCTTGAAATTATTTCCAAGATGAAGAACGAAGGCTGGGAGAGGCCAAGGTCCCTCAGATAGGAGTAGGGGAGGGTGTGGCCTGCATGCCCTCTAGACTAGAGGCCTCTCAGCTTTGGTGGGGTGAGTCCCTTCTCTCCTCACTCGATCTAGGGGTTTGTTTCCATCTTGCTGATGGAAAGCTAAGTCCTAGGCAGGACGCGTCTTCTCCACCTCCCCCACTCCAGCTCCACCCGCTCTGACCTCACTGGTCCCCTCAATCCCTTTTCCTTTTGTCCAGCAGACTCCTACCTCAGGGCCTTTGCTTGTGCCATTCCTGCCACCTGGAATGTTCTTTTCCCAGATACTTACCAAATTAGTTCCTCCACCTTCTGGCCTCTCCTCAAATGTCCCCCGACTCTCTAATTTATTACAGCAACACCATTTTCCTACCTTCCGTCTGCTCCTTCTGGACCTCTTAATGGGTACTTTCCATGGTATTGATTTTTTCCATGGTATAGATTTTTAAGACTTTCTATAGTCTCCAAGTTTGTTGTCTAGTAGAAGTCATGCTGGTAGGGGTGAGGCTTCCTTTGGTACTGCATTCCAGCACATAGAATGGAGCCTCTTATCTTCCAGATGCTCTAAAGGCTTTGGTTGAATGAATACATGAACCTCTGACCATCTCAAAGTTCCCTTTCTAGGGCTCCCCAGCTGGACTCCAAGCATGTGACAGGCTGATCAATGTGGGGTGTAAGAGTTGCAGAATCGACACTAAATGGACCTGCCTTAACATCCCTCCAGCAAAGAAGCCAGAAGCCGCCACAAAGAGAGCAGTTGGAATGTTTACTTTCACCATGATTGAAAGGCAAGTAGCAAACAAGATAGCATAAAATGTTCCCTTTTAAATGGGACCAAGAGATTAATGTTTTCATCATATATGACAACAGCCCAAAGATTCTCATCAGCCAGATGCAAATGCTCAGACCTGTAATCCTAGCTACTTAGGAGACTGAGATCCTAAAGATCACAGTTTGGTTCAGCCTGGGCAGAAAAATTCTTAAGAATCCCTATCCAAAATAACCAGCAAAAATCAGGCTGGAGGCATGGCTAAAGTGGTAGAGTGCCACTTGAGTAAGCCAGCCCAGCAAAATGCGAGGCCCTGAGTTCAGACCCTGGTACAGGCAAAACAAACAAACAAACAAAACAAAACAAAAACAAAAAACCTAGATAAAGACCAGGGCAGGCACCAGTGGCTTCTGCCTGTAATTTTATCTACTCAGAAGGCTGAGATCTGAGGATTGCAGTTCAGAAACCAATCTGGGCAAGAAAGACCATGAGACTCTTAATTCTAATTAACCACCTAAGTGGAGCTGTGGCTCACATGGTAGAGCACTAGCCATAAGAGAGAAAAAAAATTGAGGCCAAGCAAGAACTTGGCCAGTCTCTTGGGAACAGTTGCAGCTCCTGTTTGATGCTGTAATCACACCCTTAAGGACAAGTTGAGTGCTGCCTTTTTATGCTTGACCAGAGAGAAACCACGCTAGATAGTAGCTTTCCCCTCACACTCTCCCTCCAAACACAAATGGCTCTTCAGAAGCTGTGATTAGCCACATGTACAAAGGAAGTACAGAGCGTAGTGCAGGTGGCTCACATCTGTAATCCCAGCTACTCAGGAGGCTGAGATCTGAGGATCACAGTTCAAAGCCAGCCCTGGCAGGAAAGTCTGTGAGACTCTTATCTCCAATTAACCACCAAAAAAAACAGAAGTGGCATTGTGGCTCAAGTGGTAGAGAACTTACCTTGAGCTGAAGAGCTTCAGGGACAGAGCCCAGGCCCAATTCAAGCCCCATGACTGAAAAAAAAAAAACAAACAAAAGACAAAAACAAAAAGGAAAGTACAGGAATTTAGTGCAGGCTGACAAGGCTGCCATTTGGGTTAAGAATCTGCTTTGTGTGTTATAATCCCCCCTCCCCTACCTTGATGCAAAAATGATCCAGCTGGGAGCTTTCAGGCACTTTCCCAGTGTCTCTCAGAGCTCACTGCACTTGTATCCCAGACCTGGACAACTAGTTAATGAGTCCCCAATACACATCGTTCAGAGACCATGGCAGACATCACTAATGGATCCCAGGACTCTTTCCCACTAAGCCAGAGAAATAGTCCATGTCCACGCAGTAATCCAGGCATCCTGGCACAATACACACATTTCTCCTTGAATTTTGAAGCATGGGATGAAAAGGTCTCACAAAAACAACAGAAAGAAAGAAAAAAATGGGGAATTTTTTTTTGCAATAGGAAAGGTGGGTCTGTGAGAGAAAGTAAAAGCACCAGTCAAATTAGGGAATCTGAGGCCTTTATGGCCCACTGAGCCCTAGATCTCATGTTCACAAAGAACTTTAATCTTAGCCCTAGGAAATCACTTCCAGAACTGACAACCTAGAGGCTGGCCCTAAGTTTTGTTGTTTTGTTTTGTTTTGTTTTTGCTCAAGGCTAGCCCTCCTCCACTTGGAGCAACAGCTCCATTTCTGGCTCTTTTGGTGATTAATTGGAGATCAGAGTCTCAAAGGACTTTCCTGCCCAGGCTGAGTAGCTAGGATTACAGGGGTGAGCCTTCAGCACCCAGCTGCTGCTGCTGCTGCTGCTCCTCGTCCTCCTCGTCCTGGTCCTCGTCCTCCTCCTCTTCCTCCTCCTCCTTCTTCTTCTCTGGCATTTCTTTCTTTGTTTCCTTCTTTCTTCCTTCCCTCCCTCCCTCCTTCCTTCTTTACTTTTTTGTGCTGGTCTTAGTGTTTCTTTTGCTCAGGGCTAGCTCTCTACCACTTGACCCACAGCTCCACTTCGGCTTTTTGGTAGTTGATTAGAGATAAGAGTCTCATAGGGCTGGGAAGGTGGCTCAGTGGTAGAGCGCTTGCCTTGCATGCCTGAGGCCCTGGGTTCGATTCCTCAGCACCACATAAGCAAAAAGAAAAAAGCCGGAAGTGGCGCTGTGGCTCAAGTGGTAGAGCGCTAGCCTTGAGCTGAAGAGCTGAGGGACAGCGCCCAGGCCCAGAGTTCAGGCCCCATGAATGGATCCCCCCCCCCCAAAAAAAAAGAGTCTCATAGACTTTCCTGTCTGGGCTGGCTTTGAACCACAATTCTCAGATCTCAGCCTCCTAAGTAGCTAGGATTACAAGTGTGAGCCACCGGTGCCTGGCTGATGATTTCTTATTTAATTTCTATCCACTTTATCATTTTAGTTATACTTTCAAAAACTTTTTAGTGATTACTCTAGAAGATATGCTTTCTTGTGGTCTACCTCAAATTAGTGCATTTTGTTACAGCTTGAATAATGCAGAACCTTAAAAACTTAACCTCATTAGTTGCTTAGTGCCTTTTGTGCCAAAGTTATTATCATGCGTTTTACTTCGAGCCATGTTTTGAAAGGAAAGAAGGAAGGAAGGAAGGAAGGAAGGAAGGAAGGAAGGAAGGAAGGAAAGAAAAGAAAAGAAAAGAAAGAAAAGAAAAGAAAGACAGAAAAGAAAGAAAGATTCAGGAAAAAGGAAGATGCCAGGTAGCTGGGTGCTGGTGGTTCAAGCCTATAATCCTAGCTACTCAGGAAGCTGAGACATGGAGGATCAATATTTGAAGCCATCCAGGACAGAAAAGTCCTTGAGACTTCATCTCCAAAATGAACAACAAAATCTGGGCTACAGGTATGGCCCAAGAGGTAGAGCACCACTCACGTAGGCAAGCCAAGCAAGTGCAAGGCCTTACGTTCAAACCCTAGTATGGGCGAAACATAAAAAATAATAATCACAAAGAATTATCAGTGACCTAGGCAATAATAATAACAGTAGCTAATGGTTAATGAATATTTACTAAGTGCTATGCATAGAACTAGCTCAACTCATCCTTGTAAAACCCTAAGTACCTGGATATTATCATTCCATGTAGAGGGGAGGAGACAAGAGGCTTAGGGAGACTGGGTGACTTATCAAAGGTTCTGTGGCTAATTCAGGGTCAAAGTCAGGACTGGAAGCCCAGTCTGTCTTCATGGAAAACTAGACTTCTGGCTCCCATGCTGTGCTTTTGATTGGCTGTGTAGAGCTGGGCAAAGCCAGTACATTACCAGATCCTTTCCTGGAAGACACTAATGTTTGCTTTGCCTCTTGAACATTTTCAGAAAAAGTCACTAAAACCCCGATGACATCCACATCACAGTGTCCTCCATCTTCTACAAATCCTTGTTAAAAAAAACAAAACAAAAAACAATCACAGCAACAAAAAACACATCAGCAAGTGCTTGTTTTTTTTTTTTTTTGTCGGTCGTGGGGCTTGAACTCTGGGCCTGGGCACTGTCCCTCAGCTCTTCAGCTCAAGGCGAGCGCTCTACCACTTGAGCTACAGCGCCACTTCCGGTTTTCTGGTGGTTTATTGGAGATAAGAGTCTCACGGTCTCTCCTGCCCGGGCTAGCTTTGAACCGTGATCCTCAGATCTCAGCCTCCTGAGTAGCTAGGATTACAGGCGTGAGCCACTAGCGCCCGGCAGCAAGTGCTTGTTTGTTGACTGAATTTCTTTTTCTATCCTCTGAGGAAAACTAGATGATGAGAATTGTGTGGCAAGAACTATTCTAGGAACCTAATTGTTGTTTTTTGTTTTTTTTTTGGTTAGTTGTGGGGTTTGAACTCTGGACCTGGGCACTGTCCTTGAGCTCTTCAGCTCAAGGCAAGCTCTCTGCCACTTGAGTCACAGCACTACTTCTGGTTTTCTAGTGGTTTTTTTTTTTTTTTTTATGGATTTTCTGTCTGGCTTCCCAGCTTTGCTTTGACCCACAATCCTCAGATCTCAGCCTCCCTGAGTAGCTAGGATTATAGGCAGTACCCACAGATGCCTGGCTTAATTTTTATTCTTACTACTGTTTAACCCTTTTTTATGTGTGTGCCAGTACTGAGGCATAAACTCAGAGTCTTATGCTCTTGCTTGGCCTTTTCCATTCAAGATTGGCACTTCAATTAATCAGCAAAAAAGCCAGAAGTGGAGGTGTGTGTCATGTGTTAGAGCACCAGCCTTGAATGGGAAAGGCCAAGTACAAGGCCCTGAGTTCAAGCATCAGTATCAGCACACAAAGAGTGTGCATCGTGCACAAAAAGAGTGTATTAGACTCTTTTTTTTTTGGTATTAGACTTTTAACTCTCTTGCTCTGGAACAGTCTCGTGGGGCCTGAACTCTGGGCCTGGGCGCTGTCACTCAGCTCTTCAGCTCAAGGCTAGCGCTCTACCACTTGAGCCACAGCGCCACTTCCAGCTTTTTTCTTTTTGCTTATGTGGTGCTGAGGAATCGAACCCAGGGCCTCAGGCATGCAAGGAAGTACTCTACCACTGAGCCACCTTCCCAGCCCTGGAACAGTCTTTCCACTATCTACCATCCCTTTCTCCCAATCCCCATTCTCTCCTTTCATATCATTGAGTGTTTGCTGAAATTATATATATATATATATATATATATATACATATATATATTCTGTCTCTGTCTCTGTCTCTCTGTCTGTCTGTCTGTCTGTCTCTCTCTCTCTCTCTCTGTGTGTGTCTCTCTCTCTGTTGGTCATGAGATTTGAACTGAGGCTCATGGACTTTCCTGCTTGGACTGACTTCAAACCCTGATCCTCAGATCTCAGCCTCCTTAGGGGCTAGAATTACAGGCATAAGCCACCAATGCCCAGCCAGAAATAATATTTTTAATATGTCCCTTAAGAATATATGTTGTATATATCAACTAAGAGTTAGGTATAAAAACATCCATAGGCTGGGTGCCAGATTACATCTGTAATCCTAGCTACTCAGGAGGCTGAGATCTGAGGATCACAGTTCAAAGCCAGCCAGTGCAGGAAAGTCTGTGAGATTGTTACCTCCAATTAACCACCAGAACCCCAGAAGTTGTATTGTGGCTCAAAGTGGTAGAGCCCTAGCCTTAAGGGGAAAAGATCAGTGACAGTGCCCATACCCTGAATTCAAGCCCCAGGACCAAAAAATAAACAAAAAAATACACACACACACACACACACACACACACACACACACACAAACACACATACACCCTTATAATACATATAGGGATCTTATAGTATATCTGATTTTTAGAAATGTATTCTACCATATGAAGTGGAAATCTATTGCTCAACTTTTATATCTTGGACATTGATGTAAAATATAAATTCTCAGCCTATAGTCTAAAAACACCAAAACCCAACTATGTCAAATGAAAGGAATGACTCAAATAGAAGGTATCCAGGAAATAGAGATGAAAAGCAAAAAGGAATTCCATAATTTATCCATTCTGAGTAGCTTGTGTGAGTAGCTAGGTTTACAAGCATGAAATGGGGGAGCCTGGTTCTTTTCTTCCTTCCTTCCCTTCCCTTTCTTTTCCTTTTCTTTCTTTTCTTTAATAGAGTCTCGCTAGGTAATATGGGCTAGCCTCCAGCCTGAATTCCCTCTAGCCTCTACCTCCAGAGTGATAGAATTTCAGGAATGTACCACCATGCCCAGTGTATTGGTTTTGTCACTCTTCTTATTTTATTTGTTGTTTTACTCTTCTATTTTGGCAGTACTGGAGTTTGACCTCAGGGCTTCACGCTTGCTAGGCTGGCGCTCTTCCCTTCAAGCCACACCTCCAGCCCCACTCCCTTCTTTAAACACGTTCAGTGGTGTCCTTGGCATGACACCTGACGCTCTTTCTGGCCTGGTGCCCACTCCCTCATATTGCTCCCTCTCCCTCATACTGCCCCCCTCTCCCTTATACTGCCCACTCTCCATGCCACACATTGTCCACTCTCAATGGAATCTAGGCACCTGCTACTG